TATGAGATAACATAAATTATGCAATAGAATCATCAAAAAAAAAAAAAATATATCACAATTTCTGCTTATTAATTATCATTTAAATTAAATATTCAACGATTACAAAATAACTCCATGGTATTATAGAAGTTATTTGTATAACATTATTTTATGTAATATAAAAAAAATATCATGTATATAAACAAAAAAGTATTTGAATTAAATATGAAATGAATAAATAAAAATTATCCATTTATTTTTATGAATTTATATAAGCACTACGTAATTTATACTTTCTAATCAATAATAAATTGATAATCATATGTTTATTCTACAAAATAATATCCTATTTTCTATCTTACAAAGAACGGAAATGATTTATACAATTCTTCTATAGCTTTAACTATTATTTTGCTAATCAATCATTGTGTTATATTTGAGTATTAATGAATAGTATAAATGATGAATATAATTGTATTCTTGCAGTAAAAAACGAAAATTAATCAATATATTCTGTAAAGGACATAATGGTGAGAACTGTATTTGCAGTGCATCATTATTAATAACTTTTGTTAAGGTATGATATATATTATAATTAAGATAAATTATAAGAAAATAACATTTATTCATTAATAGTATATTTATTATTAAACATTTAATTACCTTTCATTATATTATTTCGTTAAAAATTATAATTATTTATTTTAGGAAATATATCTTATATTTAGAGTAAGATATAAAGGAAATTTAAATAATATGTTATAAATAAAAAATTACCAAAATCTGTATAATCATGTAAATAAAGATGTTTATATATTATATATATATTTATCACTATTTTTAAAGTAATATAAAGAATATATGTAAAATAAATTGTGAGTATCTTTGTTATGTGTATATGTCACTTAAACTTTTACAATGGATAACAAATATATTGGTGGAATTTCATGAGTATAAAAATAATTCATAACTAATGATTATAGATTAATGTTATTATATAAATATTTAAATAAAATTTTCATATTATTTATACATAAAAAAAAATCAACGAACTACAATAGTAGGATAGTTTTATATTTATAAATACATAATATAAAACATGTTTTCAAGAAATTGCTAAAAGTTCATGGATACAATAATTAATGTACTATATATAAATATAACATTTATTTGGACAATTTTGGCATATAATTATTTATAAAAAAATAACAAAAAAAATTTTCTTTCAATAAATTAGCATTCCTTAAACATAATGTATTTGGAATATGTAAACAACGATCTAAGATATTATTTTTCATTATTATTATAAATAATGCTTCCTACTTTCCAAATATCATGTTATATGAATGCTATATATGTGTTTTATATATTATAGCATGTATTTTATTTTTTTTAACATTTTAACTTATCTGTTCATTTTGATCTAATCAGTGATATGTAAAATATGAATAAATATTACTCACTAACTTTTAAAAAATTTTTTACAAATACATTTACTTACATTCTCAAATTTAGAAGTTACTTGTGGATTGTTATTGTATTTGATATGTATTGAGACAAAGGTTATGAATTATTTAGAGTGAAAAAAGTTTACTATAAACATTATAAATTTTTAGTGATTGCAAATATATATTATATTTTCTCTCTATACGTAATACTCGAAATATTATAAGTGCCTAAATTTACATTATTATATATTTCTTTCGTATTATTAGGTATACATTAAACAAATATATAAATTAAAAGTTAGATTTTATTTTACATAACAATAATGTAGATTTAGATAAGTTTATAATTTGTGCTAAGTATAATTTTTTTTAAATTCAAACATTGAAAAATTAACCTTTTATTATACAGTAATTCCATCCTCCCCCTCTTAGGACTGTTATAAGTGTATACAAGTTATAATAAGTTCTAAACCTACATATGGAAAAAAAAATTATTTAATGGTAAAAATATTTGGAAAACAACTTCACTTTATCAATATTATTTACTTCTCATACTTGTAATTTATATATGTATATATTGAAGAGAAATGCTTAAATAAACTAGACATATGACCATAAAAAGCAAGGTTACATATACCTAAAAGAAAAATAAATTTAATTGTAAATAATTCTGAACAATATGAAATAGATTAAGTAATAATATAACAAAATAACAATAGTAATTATAATTACTATTCTACGTATAAACATACAATATATATCATATTCTTCTTGTTGTTACTAAATTGTTATATGAATTCCGTTTAAATTAATTATATAACATTTTATATAAATTATAATATAACATGTAATAATGTAATACCTTATTTATAATTGCACCATCAGTTATATTATTATTTGCTTTATATTATATTTTATCAGAGTTCTGCTTTTTGATATATAGGGTGAAATGATATAAAATAAGTAAAAATATATTTTGAACCATTAAAAGAATAGTACATTGATCATTAAATATATAATAATACTGTTAATATATATTACTATTGAAAGAAAAAGAAACTCTATTTATATATATTTTTATATTAATCTAATCATTGTATGCAAAAAAATTTTAATATAATCAAAAGTGTCTTAACAATAATATAACATAAAATGCCCTATATTGAATACAACAATGAATATAAAAATTATATACATAGCTAAAATTTTATTTTATCTCAAACGATATAACATTTATTCGTAAATCAAAGTAATCATAGATTACATAATTATAAATTTTAATATTGCAATATGATTCTATATATATAATACTCAATTCAGTTAAAACAACTGTTTTATGTATATTTCCCCAATAATATAATTTTTTTTGAGGTTATTATCATAATTTAATTATTAAGGATAATATGTATTAAATTTTATTTATTTATATAATATATCAATATTTTGTTATAATTAAAACATGTAATTCTTCATTATACATGCTATATATGCATAATAACAATAATGTTAATCATTGCAGTGATTAAATATAAAATGCATTATTTTTATTTAAATTAAATAATTCTGTAGTAATATTATCACTCATGACAAAGAAAAGCATAGAATTCTTATAATTAATATGATACAATAAAAAGCCTTTTCCAAAAAGGTTTATAGAAAATTATAACTTTTTTTGTCATATACATTATATCATATTTGCCTTTAACCAAAATTTTTTTTTCTTATTTTATACATTACATATAATTAAATGATTCACCAAAAGAATAATATCAAAAAATAATATCAAAAAATAATATCTATATTTTATTTATGATTATATTTTACAGTGAGAATCATTTATATCGCATATATAATAAATTCTAAATATTAATGAGCACATAATATGAGTAAAATTAACTGTGTGATTATAATATGCATATAAATTTACATGTTATTTACCTATTTCATTTTAAAAATGGGCTATATATTACATATTTTATGTTATTTCCTATTCGAAATATTGCATTTTGCATATTGGAAATGAAAAAGAGTAAATTGATATAATAATGAAACATCCATAGGAAGTTTATTCATAAATAATTCAAATGTATACATGTAAATAAATTAAACATTTTATATAATCTATTTTAAATAATTTATATTTTATTTTTCAAAAAACATATATAACACTAAAAATTATTAGTTATTAAAAATACAAAACCGTTTAATATATATAGTAAGTAGAATTAAAGAATATATATATATAAGGCATATAAAAAAATTATTTTTCTAAATAAAAACTAGATAATAATAAAAACAGCATAAACAGAAATCTGAAAAAATAAAATATTCTTAATTATAATATAATAATATAAATAATAACTTCATATATTGATACAAAAGCACTATTAATATTATATTAGTGCTTATTAATAAAATATTAACAAATAATGAAAGAAACTGTAAAAATATTAATTGTACCTATAAATATTATAAAATAAACAGAACTCTATATATTCATCCTTTTTATATATATATATTTTATTAATTTATTAAATATCTTATGTTAATATTAACTCATATACTGTGGAAAAAAATATATATAGTGTTCTAATGCATATCAATATATCCCAGAATAAAACTTATAATATAATTAATAACATTTCAATTAATATATAGAAATAATAATTTTATTGTGTATTGCTTCAAGAAAACTTTTAGATTTATACTAAATGATAATTAATAATACTGAATTATAAATAGTAAACAGCAAAATCTTATCCCTAAAACTAACCCTGAAGCATAAACACTGAATAATATTTTACCTTTATTACATTTTTATAAATTTATATAAAGTAATAATAATTAAACATTCATAACCATAAAAAAAAGGCATATGTTTGTTATATCAAAAATTTTATTATGAAAATATAATATTTTAAAATATTATTTATAGTAGTTAAGCATCAATAAACTAACTATAATCATTAACATATGATATAAATCCTTTGTCAAAAAAATTCAATTCGAAAAATTAAAATCATGAACTCTGAAAACTAATGTATTATAGATGCTTATATTGTCATATTTTATCAAACAATGCTACTGTTCTTATTATGTAAGCGTTATACTCTTGCTTTCCTTTTTCTTCTTAAAATAATTAAAAATTAATACAAAACATCACAAATAGTACCATATTATAATTACAATAAAAATTAATGATTATTTTAGTCTAATTAATTTTTCTATCAGTTGCATAATATTAAGAAAGTATAAATTTTATTTTCTAATATTATATATAATTCTTTTTAAATTTTTTGGAATATATGTACTAGTATGCTTAAATTTTTAATATACATAATTGGAAAAGTTATGTGGTCATTTTTAGGATGAGTAAATATAATGTAGAATAGAATTATTATAATAGAATTTACAATATTATCATAAACGTATACTTTATTTTCCATTAACCTGCACAATTCTTTTTTATTAGAATACGATTTTTGTAATGCTATAACTTTTTTCACCTTTTTTAGTATGAAAAAATATATTCCTTATTTCCTAAATGTGAAAATATTATGACGCAAGATAAACATGGTTATCAGAGTTCCTAGAACAGTGAGTGTAGTCATTTTGAAGGAAAATATTCAGATATAAGTTTTTCCAATGTTTCTGATATATGCCATAAATCTTTAGATTATTTAATTCAAATATTTACGTCAAATGAAAACTCATTGTAAAATGTTGCAGTACAATACTTGTATTATTGGATAAATCAGAAAAAACAGACTAACGGAGAGCATAATACAAGAATTAATGAATTTTATGAGGAATTGATTAGTAAAGCTAAGGAAAATATATTTAATTCACCGTCTTTAAGTAATTATTTAGAATATAATATTGTTGATTTAGAAATAATCAATGATTTATACAATGTTAAAACATTAATAAATTATATAAAAAGTTCTGATAGTACAAATTGTAATGGAAATATAAAAGAGTGTGCAATTGAATGTGCAAAAAGATATAATCGTCTCTATATTATATGCAAAGACAAGTATAACCCTGATTTATATGATGAATTAGAAAATATTAGAAATGAACTTTATTTTCATAATATAATTAATGAATATCATTTAAGTCTACCCGAAATGTTATCTTATTTGGAAAGACAAAACATAATAGTTCCTATTTTAATTCCTATTGTTATAACTTTATTAGTGTCATGTCTTTTAATTTATATATATAAAGTTAATAATAAAAAAATATATTTACCCAATAAAGATATTGTTAAAAGAGAAAAAAATATATAAATATATATATATTCATATAAAATTATATTACTAACTTAATGTATTTTTTATTATTTTTATTAGTTCACACCACATGGCACATACTTGCAATATGCTGTAAAAAGTATAAGAAATAAATTTAAAAATACATATAAAGTATTGGATACAAAGCATTCATATGAAAATTATGACAACAACTCATGGAAAAGGGGATATAATGTATTATATAATTCTGCTTAGTTGTAGCATTAAATATATAATTATAAAAATATATTACACTTAAATAGTATATAAAATGAATGAATTAAATATTTTCAGATTGATTCTATTAGACACTTCATATTAAAATAAGGCTTATAACATTATAATAAAGTTTTGGATTATTTGGTAAATATAATATAACAGTTATTCAATAAGAAAAATGCCGAATGATATAACTCATCCGTTCATGATGAATAAATAAATATAGAACTTATATATTTGAGAAATTTACCTTTTTTAATATTCTGCAGCTTGTATGAAAATAATTTTTTCTTTTTATTAATTGACATCACATAAATATAATAATTTAACACAAATGAAATAAAACATATATATATATACATCCCGATAATCTATTATATAATGGTATATACAAATGAATATGCAATTATAAAATAGAAATGATGAAAATTGATTTATAGTGAAAAATTTTTTTATAATATACATATGATATTTTTTTATAGATTATAAAATGTTTTAATAAATATATAAAATTAATGTGTAAAATTTTATAAGATACATGTTTATTTTAATGTAAATTTTAGGGTATGAATAATAATATCTTATTTATTCTTATACATTTCTTATTTAATTTAATATACTGTTTTATATTACAATACAAATATTTTTTTTTTTTACATGATTAATATTGAAATTCTTCACAACGTACATAATAGTAATTACGCTAATCTCTTATGTATATTCTTTTAATGCAAATGAAATTTAATTTTTTTTTACTACAAGGAAACTCATTTTTTTATATTTTACATATAACAAAAGTGAATTTCTATAACTATATCTAATTACAAAATATTTTTATATTTAGAAACAATATTATACAATGTTCTATCAATAAGTAATAATACACAAAAGTCATTACATATATTGTATACATCATTATAAGAAAAAGTGAAAAGCTTAAAATCTATTACACATAATAAATTAGAAATAACTAAATTTACATACGTATAACAAAATTATAAAATTTATCATAAAAGGAAAATATAAATATCTATTTAAAGTAATATATATAGACAAAAAATATATATATTTCTTTCAAAGTATTATTAATGAAAATTGGTTATCATATAATATGTAAATATAACTTCATATAACATATGTAGTTCCAAATTTATGTTATACAATAAATATAACATTCATCTTATAGTTTTTTATTCGCATATTTCATTAAGCAGTGCTTCTATTTTTTATTTTTACGCACAAAACTCCTCATCCCATGAATTCATGAGATATATATTTTTATATATAATTAAATAGCATATATTTATAGTAAATCAAATAGTATAATAATCATATTCCAAGTAAAATTATGCATACTCATTCAATAAAATGATTCCAATATACTATTATATTATATATTACATATATAGAAATGACTTAAATTACTGTCTAAATAACTATATACATAGATAGTAAGAATGAATGTATAAGAAAATGATATTTATATTGTGACCACACAAAATATTAAAATTTTTATAAAGAAAAAAACATTAAAAAATTAATATTCAGAAAGTATATAAATTTAGTTTTATGTTGTATATTATAGTATATAGGAATAAAAAATCGTGTGAATTAAAAAATATACTATGTATTATAATGCATAAGTAAAGGATGCTTTCATTTAAGAAATATTGTTTATTTCAATAAAAAGATTATACCATAGTTCACATATATTTGTATATTTATGGTAATAAAGACATTATTCTTGATAATTAATATATATATTTTCTATTTATTACATATAAAAATTTCATCTTGTATATTTTCATGATTTTATGGCATAAAGATTCCATGTATTTTTTGTCATGTATGTAATTCTTTAAAAGTATAATAGCACATTTTATAATAAATATAAATTTTATTTATCTAAATATTATAATAAGAAATTAAATTCAATGCTATTAATTTTTTTTTTTACGAGCACAAGCATTAATTTGAGTTATGATATTATGTTATAGGTAATAAAAAAAACTATACATCAAATTTATACAACTACTTGATTTGAATATGTGTTAAAGCATATTATAAATTATAATTCCTTAAAACGTACTATTTTCAAAAAGATGAAATATGTTCTAGTAACATTGCGTCTTTTTATATAATACATATTCAATTATTTGTTAAATATATTATTTATACTACATAATTTTAAATCGAATATTATGTAATGATCAAGCATTGTTGTGTTTAATATTACATATATATATATNNATATATATAGAAATTAATATTCATTTAATAATTATAACTTGACAAATATTTAATATTATATGTGCATTTACGTAAATCTTTATCCTATATACAGTCTATCTGCTTAGTAGTGTGTTTAAAACATAATTCTAATAGAAATAATGAAAATAAATAAATA